GGCTGCCCTCTGAAACGTCGTTCTGCAGAATCGGATTGTCTGGGGTGAGATTGCAATAGCCTGCTGACTTAACCGGCCTGCAGGGGAAAGGAGAATTGGACCGAAGCAAGCCGACTTCGAAAGAGGAACTGCCGGCAAGCCGACTCAAAGACGGCATTGGAGAGTTTGCCTAGCGCCCCACCCGCCTTGCTGGAGGTCCATTTAGGTTTGCATCCAGTTTCCCACCAGGGCTAAGAAGCCCACAAGCAGGCATGAAGGCAACGTCCCTCCCCCACTGCTGCCCTCCACTGACTGGTATTCAGAGATACACTGCCCCTGAACATGGAGGCTCCATTTAGCTATTATAGCTAATACTATTCTTTCTGAAAGTCCTCTAAGGTAGAATTTAAATATACACACCCCCATACAGGCATAATCTTGGTGTCAGCATCACCTGTAATGCTCCCAGCTTTATCACTTCCAAAGGGGGTTATCTAAAATCAGGCTTGGAAAGGACCACTTCCAGCGGCTAACCATTTATGGAGAGTCGGGTTTGGTGTAAAGAGCAGATGCTGCCTTGCAGCTCCAGTTTCAACAACTGGGAGACTGCTGCTGTACACCTGCAATAAAACCCCAATTCAGTCTACCTGTGAGAGCCCAGCCTCAGCTATAGCAGTGACAAAAATCCAACCACGAATATGGACTATAGGGCCCCGAGAGCATGTACAAAGTGCATTCACTCCTAAAATATTAGCGCATGGCCCTGCCATTGGGTGCTTCCAGACCAGAGCTGGCCTCAGATGACATAATGGGTAGAGGGCTGGCATGACGGACCCCTGCTTCTTTTATTCTGGAGGCAGTCTTTCCCGCCAAAACACTGTTCACCACTCTGACTGAGCAGCCTCTTAATAGCGTGTTAAACTTATAACTCTCTTTGTGTCCCACCCAGTGTCAAAGAAGTTTTCTGGCTTTTTCTCAGGCCAGAGATCCCCCCCCCCATTATTGCTAACTCCTGATGAGGATTTTCCTCAGAAAAGGCTGGTTGCCCATCTCCCTATGTTTGCTTAGATTTCTGAGGGGGTGCCATTTATGACTGGAATTTTATCAAAATTCCTCACAAAATTATAAATTATTATATTCTACTATTGCGTTTTCGTAGTGGGACTAAGTAGTTGTGGGTTTCTTTTTCAAATCGCGATGCTGCCACCAGATATGGACCACAGCTCCTTCTGTTCAGTGAAGCATTAACCCCTAATCTCCCAGCTCTCTGCGTTAGATGCACGAAGCATCCTGGTTTTTGAGGTCAGTTCGTCACAGCTGGCCTAGGAGCATACCCAAATCTGCCACTCAGCTCATAAGGTGACTTCGGTCCAGTCTCTCTCACTCTAGCCTATCACAAAGGTCATTGGCAGTATAACCAGTGTGGGAGAGTGGTAACTTGGTATAATGGTTTGTGTCAGACTGATCTATGAGACCCAATTTCACATCCTCCTCTCTGCCATGGAAGCCTGTTGGCCGGTCCCACACACTCAGCCTAACCTACCTCACAGGATTGTTGTGGGGACAAAATGGAGAAAAGAAACACCATGTAAGTGGGAGGAAGGTGGAGTATAAGCGAAGTAAGTAAATAGATAGAATAGACCAATAAGACTGATATGGCTGAGAGCACTGGAGGAAGCGTAGGACACAAAAGGGATCAAAAGCAGTCAGCAGGGGTGGGCACTTGCCCTAGCCTACACAGTCCAGCAGAAGACCTCTGGCTGAGGGCCCCCTGCTTTGGTGCCTACCTACTGCTCGGCCCCTGTGAGTCTACCTGCTCACTCACAAGGTCACTTCTTCTGTAGGGAGGAAACAGGCAGTGGCAGCACAGAGTAACTGGTCTCCAAGAGCCAGTTTGGTATAGGAGAGCCAGTTTAGTGTAGTGATTAAGAGTGTGAACTCTAATTTGTGAGAACCGGGTTTGATTCCCCACTCTTTCACATGCGGCCACTGGTGTGACCTTGGGTCAGTCATAAGTTCTCTCGGAGCTGTTCTCGAGAGAGCCCTCTCAGCAGTAAGAAGACTGCCATAATCCTGGAAAGAGGCTGTGGCTTAATGGCAGAGCATCTGCTTGGCATGCAGAAGGTCCCAGGTTCAATCCCCGGCAACTCCAGTTAAAGGCTAAGGTGATAGGCGATGTGAAGGACCTCAGCCTGAGACTCTGGAGAACCGCTACCAGTCTTGGTCCTTTGGTGGACCAAGGATCTGATTCACTATAAGGCAGCTTCTGCCAGCCTGGGTCCAGAATAAGAGGTTTCTGTTGCCAGAACTCTCACTTTCTAGAACTGAGCTTTGCTCTGAACTCCCTCTTGAAAAAAGGAAGTCATCATTTGATGTAAGACAATTTACGATGAGTAAAAAAAGATGTTCCATCCTGACCCTAAGATAATAATCACTGTATCTCCTAGTAAACTGGCTGACCCCTGCATGGACAACAAAAGCTACGCATCCCTCATGGGCAACTGGGGCGGGGAGCAATCTGTCTACTCGGGGGTACAGGAAAACATGACTTTGTAAATTAATCTGATGATCATTTTAAAAGGCCTCAACACACAGCCTTTGTGCAGCACAACCTCGTGACTCTCTTCACCTTCCATCGTCTACATCACATGACGGAAACTGATGCATGTTTTTAAATGCGCACGCACACAATCAAGAAAAAAGTAGAGAAGTCCCACATGGGCACATTTAGGTATGCCCATTCTGTACAGTCCAGGAAGATCAAAATGGGAATTCAGGACCAGAAGTTATCAATCTGTGAGGCACTGACTCCAGCAGGATCATTAAAAAAAAACACTGTACTAACATTTTCAGGGTTGTATTATCTGTTGTCAGAACTGAAAGCCAGTTTGGTGTAGCGGTCAGGAATGTGGACTCTAATCTAGAAGAACCATCTTTGATTCTCCACTCCTCCACATGCAGCTGCTGGTGTGACCTTGGGCCAGTTACAAGTCCTTTCAGCGCTGTTCTCTCATGAGCAGTTCTCCAAAGAAGAAGAGATTGGATTTATAACCCGCCCAAGGACACCATGACAGAGTGGGAATTTGAACCTGGGTCTCCCCGTTTCTATTTTGTGTTTTTATTTTTTCCCATCTGGAGAACCTTAGGATAATCTTGGGCAGCAGCAACACCACTAACTGAGTGGCGCATTTTGTAATAATTAAACTAAAACGAAGGCATACTAATACACCATTAATATTCCCAAACAATCTATAGCATACATGTTTTTCACACTAATAGTGAACTTTACTATTTTAATTTGAGGGGGTGACTTTTAAATATACAGAACCCCTTCCCCATGGCTTCAGCATTTTAAAGAAACTAATCCTCTGGAAATCCACTGGTGAGACACAATCCTAAATATCACATTTTCTACAGCTGCTCAATGACATTATGTGATGGTATGCCAGAGTTGTCTGTTCTTCCTGTCTAGGAAGTTGCGTATCTCTCTATGGCAGACCTTAAGAAGGGAGAACACAGGCTGTATTCTGGTAACATCTATTTGAATAAGCACTTTAGGAAATCAGGGAGCTGGATCTACACTAAATTGGCAATTTTCACCAATTCTCCCTCCCTTCCCTCTGCACGTCGCTCACTCAGGGTCCCCTATCCCCGCCAAGAGTAGCATTTCATGGCAATTGGTGAGTTGTTGCGGGGGGGGGGGGCAGAAAAGCATCATTCTGCCATTGGAAAATTGAGTCTGGATACAACCCAGGGCATATTCACACACATACACACAGAACACACTCAACTAGATTTGAGGCCACACCATGGCAAACAACTGTGGGTTTCTGAATGAAGAATATGAGTCCCTTGAACAGTGTCCCTTGAAGGGGGGGGAGGCTCCTGGTGGCATGTAAGACGACTTTATGGAAGAAAGTACACTATTGTTAACTATCCATCAAATTTTTTGGCCTGGGGATTAACGTAGAGTAACTTATGTATGTGCAGGAATGGGGTTGTCTAAAATTCTAATTCCTGACCTAGACTCCAAATGCTGGATATTAGAACGGTTGCTACAGCCGTTGCCCGAGTCTCTCTGTCACCTCGGCTGCATAAAACGTTTTCCCCACAAAACCACAAGAAAGAAAGGCCTGTAAAGTCAGTAGCTGGCCCTGTCGCAGCACACGTGGGTGACCAAATCTGCTTTAAATAATTTCAGACTCTCCAGCTGACTCCATCAGTAGTGGGGGGGAGGGGGGAAAGAAACACAGATCGGTAATGCATTCCACAATTCTGAAAGGCTAGACAACCACAAAACCATTAAGAGAGTCTGCCACATAATCAAAGGCACTGGCAATCTAATAATCAGATTCATAAATTGTTTGACAGTCTGCCACTGAAAATTTAAATCTAGTACAGACTAAATGGGTAATGCCAGTACTCGTCCAGAAGACATTAAAGCAGCAGTACATAACAACTAACCAAGCGGAGTACAATGTGCACTGAACCTTTGCATCCTGAGTCCCTACTTTGAAATATCCTTCCCTTCTATATTCACACACATACACACAGAACACACTCAACTAGATTTGAGGCCACACCATGGCAAACAACTGTGGGTTTCTGAATGAAGAATATGAGTCCCTTGAACAGTGTCCCTTGAAGGGGGGCTCCTGGTGGCATGTAAGATGACTTTATGGAAGAAAGTACACTATTGTTAACTATCCATCAAATTTTTTGGCCTGGGGATTAATGTAGAATACTTATATAAGTGCAAGAATGGGGTTGTCTACAATCCTCATTCCTGGACTCCAAATGCTGGATATTAGAACGGTTGCTACAGCCGTTGCCCGAGTCTCTCTGTCACCTCGGCTGCATAAAACGTTTTCCCCACAAAACCACAAGAAAGAAAGGCCTGTAAAGTCAGTAGCTGGCCCTGTCGCAGCACACGTGGGTGACCAAATCTGCTTTAAATAATTTCAGACTCTCCAGCTGACTCCATCAGTAGTGGGGGGGAGGGGGGAAAGAAACACAGATCGGTAATGCATTCCACAATTCTGAAAGGCTAGACAACCACAAAACCATTAAGAGAGTCTGCCACATAATCAAAGGCACTGGCAATCTAATAATCAGATTCATAAATTGTTTGACAGTCTGCCACTGAAAATTTAAATCTAGTACAGACTAAATGGGTAATGCCAGTACTCGTCCAGAAGACATTAAAGCAGCAGTACATAACAACTAACCAAGCGGAGTACAATGTGCACTGAACCTTTGCATCCTGAGTCCCTACTTTGAAATATCCTTCCCTTCTTCTGACTGGGATACAAGGACTCAGATCTCTATTCCGACTTGTATCTGAAGTTTTGACTCTCGGAAGTTTATACCCTGAAAAGGTGCGTCTGGACTTGAATCTAGCAGTCCATAACATCAGAAAATCCTCACATTTGATTACATGCACACGGCAAGATGACAGAGACGTATAAGCTCTTTACCAACTCCCTCACCTCCACTCCAAAGCCTATTACCATCTCATTCTGCTGCATTGTATAGACCGTTTCCATGAAGTTTATGAAGTTTCAACCGCACTCCCCCATCCAGGCAACAACCAGGCTGCTTCAGGTCAACATTGAAGCAGCACAATGCACCCTGAAAATGTATTTTGGTGCTGCCTTGCTGACAAAGCATTTCAGAATACAGTAGAAGGGTCTTCTTGCAGCCTCAAAATTTTGTCTAAGTAAGCCTCTGTTGATTAAGCGAGACCTGGGGAGCGAGAGAGGGAAGGAAGGAGTAGGTAGAGGATTTCATTACCTTTCCAGATTTGTGAAGAGGAAAGCCTGCTGAGAGAAAAACAGTGGTGTTCTGCAGATCACTAAAGCTAAGTAATGGGCACATTCCCTGTTCCCAAGCTTTTATGAGGGTAGAGTTGGATTAGAATTCGCTGGCATTCATGGATCCGAGCTGCCATGCAATGAAGGCATCTTGGTCTATATTGCTGGGTTTGCCAGGGAGACCGCTGTCAGGCCTGCTGATTGCATGTCCAAACTGAACTCACCTTCTCTGTCTTTAAGCTTTCCAGACTACCAGCCCACTCGTGTTTTATTCCAGGATCAGACCATGCCTTGACCCATACAAACCAGACTTTTCTACTTATCCCAATGTGGGTTGAAGATTCATCCTCATTTCCATCTCTGGAGACAGTGATCCCACTACTTTGAGACCTTGTTTTGGAATGAGAGCCAAGCGGTACAGAGACGCAGGAACTGTGTCATAATTTGACCTCTGAACTCCAATGTCAGACACAAAGATTACAAAACATGCACCGACACAAGATGCTGTGGTTCTTTTCCAGGAGGTGTTCCTTGGAGGCTCAGAGCCCATGTGAACCACTACCCAGAGGCCAGGAGGGATACCCAGTTTCCTCTAGAATGCCACAAGCAGATACCTTCCTTATTTCCAGAACAAGATTTCTCCTTTCTGCTTCCTCATTTCATCAGCAATCCAAAACAAAAGGATAAACCCACACAGGTCATTTTCTCGTGTTTATTCCATTTATTACAAAATGCTAAGGGAAGTTAGTGTCCTGGTACATACAAAACGTTTTGAGTACAGACCGTTGTTCTGTCAGCCAAGGGGACCCAAGTAGCTTCAACAGAAACTGTCATTGATTAGTACCTGCAAACCCCATGGTGGGTCTTTTAGGAGGTCCCCATGAACAATTTTGGCATGCCAGGCATTTGCAATTATTTAAGGCATCGTGGATAAGGGATGTTCAATCCTGTACCACCATCGTTCCTGTAGCTTTAGTGTTCTGTACCTTTCTCCCCTCTGTTTAAAGAAAGCACCTGAAAGGATTCTAACCTAGCAATCTAAGGAAAGCACAACCTAGAGAGACAGACATTTTTGGAACAGACGACTGTGAGACAAAAATCCTATGAAGTAGCAAGCGACAAGCTATATCACTAACTAACTTGCGACTAACGAAGCAAAGTGTAACTTGGTCAGGGCACAAAGCACGTACATACATTTACAGGAAACAGCTTGCTGGTCTTTAAGAAACGAAGTTACAAGAGCATCCATGATTATCCTAAATGAAAAAGCCACGGTTCATCGACCTGCTCCTCAAAGCTTACGTACATATAGTATGAGTCCACTAGCTTTTTGAATGAAAGCAAAAATGGAGACAGGGAAAAAAGTTAGAAGGAAAATAAACCCGACATTATATGCAGGAGAGCATCATTACCAAGAAGATGGAAAAAAGATATTAGCCAACATGATTAAGGACGAGTACATATATATCATGAGAGGAGGGAGAGGCTGCTTTCCAATTGGATCTTCCAAGGCTGTGTCTCGCGATATCCAGCACCATATCCAAGCATTATTCCATTGGTATTTGGTAGTGTTGTGATTCAGTTTGAAGTAAAGCATCGACCCATTTTCAAGAGGACCGTAGAACTGCCATGGAAGAGAGAAATGTAACAGTTTAGAAACCAGACAAAGCCTTCTCTGTGGTGGCACCAAGACTGTGGAACTCCCTCCCCCTAGGAAGGCTTATTTATTCATCTAACATCCCATTTTTGTCCCCTGGGGGAACCCAAAAAGGCATCACCATTCTCCTCTTAGGAGAGGAGCCCCAGCACGTTTATTTCTGAGAAGCTCTGGGATTCTCTGATGTTATGGGATAGCTGGTTAATTTAGCCAGCGTTTTGTAATTATTTTATTTAATCTGTGCTGTGGCACCTTTGATCTTGGTCAGTAAATCTGGAGATTTGCAAAATTGAAAGACTGGATAAGAAGATCTTAATAAATACCAATAAAAGCACACACACACAAGCAGGACATCTGAAGACTTGTCCTCTCCCAAACCTGCCCATTTGCCAAAACATACCTGCCATTTGAGATAAGACAGGTGGCAAATGGGGACAGGGCCTTCTCTGTGGTGGTTCCCGGTCTGTGGAATTCCCTCCTCAGAACTAGATGTTTGGCGCCAACCGTTCTATTATTTAAGTACCAGGTTAATACTGATTTTGTTTCCCCATACTTTTTGGTCAACAACATCATTTATGGCTAGTTTTTGTTTGCTTGGTCAAGGGATTTATTCCAGTGTATCTTACACTGTTACATACTGACTGTAAGCCTCCTTGAACAAATTTGCTGGGAAAGCAGAATAAAGATGTTACCGACACAATGTTGTTTGTGCACATTTGCCCATGCATGTCCCATGGAATGGGATGGATGTTCTCATCCTGCACGTGCAAGTCGTTCACACTTAACGAAGCCTGAAGCTTGTGGTTCCCCTTCTGTTTTTCACATGGGGACTTCGGTACCAAGCACAGGCTGAATGGTATATGAAATATTTATTTATTTATTTGATTCATACCCTGCCCTCCCCACCAGGGCTGGCTCAGGGCGGCTAACAAGGCCACAGGCATTATAAACAATAAAAATTTAACAATTGAAAACCATCAGACCATTTAAATGTACAGCTCATATAATGGGGTGGGAGTGGGGGAAGTGAAGCTGCCTTTCCCAGGAACACACGGCAAAATTCAGGCTAAGCACGGGCTGCCCATTCAAGAGCAGAGCAGCCTTCTTCTGGAGATGCACTCTGCAGACCACAGGACAATGTCTGGGCTCCAGAGCCTCCAGAATCATCCCTCCGAGAAGCTCCTTCTCACGGAAGTCGGCAGGCCCCGTGCCAGATGACTTCAAGGCCGAATTTAGCTGCCTTACGTTTGAAGCCTCACAACATTTAACGAGAGCAGAGGAAGGAGGGCTCAGATCTATTTTTAAATCTGCGCTCGCCCCACTCCTCACTCCTGACAGGCTCACATGCCCTGCTTGCCTGCCCTCTTCCTCCTGGAAACAAGAGCCAGAGGATTGCTCCATTAACGCGAACGAAGTCCTCCTGGGCATACAGGATTCACAGCTGCAGGATGCAAGGAGGCTTAGAGGGCTTGAGGAGGGGACTCAGACCAACTCGTGGATAACAGATCAGATTCGACTCCAGCAGCACCTTAAGAGACCCACCAAGAGTTTCAGGATGTAAGCTTTTGAGATCTGAAGCTCCCTTAGCCCCTTCGCAGGTGGCACACCAAGGGAGCCGCGACTCTTGAATTATACCCTGAAACTCTTGTTGGACTCAAATCTGTTTTACAGCAGATCAACACGGCCATCCTCTGAAATGGTAACAGATCTAACAGATGAGCTGCTGTCAGCCAGAACAGCTAAAATGGAACCTCTGCACTCAGAGGCAGTGTACCTCTGAATACCAGCTGGTGGAAAGGAGCCAAAGGAAAAACTATCGCCTTCTTATCCTGTCTGTGGGCATCCTGGTGGTTTCCGCTTTGGGAAAGAGGACACCGAAGCAGACAGATCGTTGGGCCGATCCAGCCAGACTCTTTTCAAGTTTTTTTTTTGTTACATGCACTGTCAGCCTGAAAGATATGTCAAGCCCTGGGGCCCCTAACCACAGAGCTTGTCCATTCCGCACTTCCACGCCTGGCACAGCATTCTGCATCGGAGGAAGATATCCAGCCCTCCAAGAACATCAGCATTCCTGTTTTAAACAGGTAATTTTTTAAAAGCTGAGTACGCACTGCGCCCTACCTGGTACACCTCTGAACCACCAGCCTGCTGGACCACCTGCCAGCTATCCAGATAACAAGATAAGTGAGTCACATCACTAACTGGAGGACTAACTGGAGGACCAACTGCAGGTGGCACGCAAATGCATGTTGTTGAGCAAAAGGTGGGAGGCAATAGGATTTCTGAGCGACTGGCAGGGAAACCAGGCCCCCGGTCCAAGGAGAGAGACCAGGAACCCTCAGGAGAGGCAGAGGCTGAATTCAGAAATAAGAGGATGAGGCTGGGAAGTCCTGGGGCTCATGCCCTCTCTCTGTCCTTCATTCCCTGGCGCATGGCTTGGATACTGGCTTTGCAACAAGCCGTACCCTTACAGCCAACCACCCATATGTGGAAACCATCACACAGAGTTTTCCCACATTCTTCTCCATTCCTGCAGTCCCTGCCAACCCCCTCGAAATACCAGTGCAAAGGAGGAGGAGGAGGAGGAGGAGGAGGAAATTGGATTTATACCCCACCCTTCACTATCCAAAGGTGTCTCAGAGCGGCTTACAAACTCCTTTCCCTTCCCCTCCCCACAACAGACACACTGTGAGGGAGGTGGGGCTGAGAGAGCTCTGACAGAAACTGCTCTTTTTTCAAGAACTGCTCTTATCAGAACTACGGCACACTTAACCACTACACCAAACTGGGACTCAAGGGGTTGGGGGGAGGGGGCTGGAATGAGTGGGGGGTCAAGTGAAGCTGTGTCTGCAGGAGGAGATATCTGGCCTCCTTGGGCCCTCCCCTCTCCAGCCCACCGAACCCCCACTGCACGAGTCCCAAAACCCTGATTTTCTGGGGTCAGAAGGGGCTGCACGAGCCGAGAGAGGCATTGGAAAACTTTGCATCCTGTGCACAGATTGCTGGATACAGGTTTGTTACGACATCTGAGCCTTGCCTTCAAGAAAAATTACAACCCAGGATAGACAGGAAGTCTTCAATATCTCATAATGTGGGGTTGTTGTACGTGAGCCCTAGGACTTCCAGGGTTTGTTCTTACAGTAAGAATACTGGTTTGCCCTTACATCTGGCCCTGCTTAGTATTTTGATGGGAGGCCACCAGGGAAGTCTGCGGTTGCTGTTCAGAGGCTGACATCTTGCATTGAAAACCCTATGGGGTCACCAGAAGTCGGCTATGACTCGGCAGCACTTTCCACCACCTGACATCTGAATGTGGCCAAAGTCGCTTACCTTGGCTTTCCAAAGAACCCACCTGCTGTACCTGAGAGCCAATTCGGTATAGTGGTTAAGTGTGTGGACTCTAATCTGGGACAACCGGGTTTGATTCACTTGCACCTGGCTGGATGACCATGGGAAGCCATAGTTCTGACAAGAGCTGTTCTCTCAAGGGCAGTCCTCAAAAGAGCTCTCTCAGCCCCACCTACCTCACAGGGTGTCTGTTGTGGGTAGGGGAAGGGAAAGGAGCTTGTAAGCCGCTCTGAGACTCCAAGTGAAGGGCGGGGTACAAATCCAATCTCCTCTTCTTCTTCTTCTTCTTCTTCAGCCTTTGGCCCTTATTAAGGACAAATGTTTTGCGGTGAAAAGGAGGGGGACACTCTACCGTAGGAAACCAAAATGTTATCATGCTGGCCAGTTGCAGCATGTAAACTTAAGTTGAACTTGGGTGAGCAATAGTATATGTTACACTGAGAATCAACAATATTTAAGCTCTTGAACTGTAAAAGCTAAGAGAATGAACGGGTCTCTAGAGTGCTGATACTAAAAGAAATAATTGCATTCAGGTAAGGCAGGCCGTTAGAGCAGAGAGTACAATACATCACTAGTTTCTTATTCTTGGAATGATGCAGATCAGTGCTATATATGCAGCACTGAAAGCATATGCATTCTTCAATATGCATACTTTATCCTAAAAATGATTTTTTGGTGCTTTTGCAGAACATCTGCAACAGGATACTCCTTCGACTCAGTGAATTCAACCAGGTCTTGATATTTTATTTATTGAGCTACACAGATCCCACACCTTTCACAACAGACTTTCAGACTGCTTAAAACCACAATAAATTAAAAACAACGGAAGTTCAAAAATACAAACAATCAGTAAACAGACAAGCAAACCAACAGAGTAGCAGAAAGCCAAATTAAGCAAAAAGATCTCAAACCCTCCCTGGGGCAAAGTTGCCTTTGTCTCTCTTCCAAAAGCCAACACTAAACATATCAAATTTCCCTAGAATGGAATTCCAGAGTTTTGGTGCCACTGCTAAGAAGGCCCCATCAGATGAAACCATGTGATGCACTTCAGAAAGGGAGGAAGTTCATATGGGAGGAAGTGGTCCTTGGTGTCCCTTAGGACCCAGACTGTTCAGGTCTGGTACTCAAATTTTGCAGTTGGTCCTCCCTCAGAAGTTGCTATTATCTTGATGCTTAAAAACAGAGCTTGTACTGCCAGTTAACATTATGCCAAATTATTCTGAAATAGGTCCACAACTTAACACATTCTGCTTTGCATATCTGCTCATTTTTTCCCAGGCACTCCTAAAACATCTACACAAAATTGCTGAATTAAAATCCATATTTTGCTTCTCTTACGAAACTGATTTAACAGGCCTGGCTCTAGCTCACCCCACCCACCGGACAGTGAGATTTCCCAACCCATTTTCAGACTCCTTACAGCAATTTTCAAGGTTCCTCTGGGAAGGGAGGGGAAGGCACTAAAACCAGTTCAAATGTAGCCACAAATCAATGTTATGTTTCTGGCTACAGAATTGTGGGGTAGCATCCTTAAATTTTCCTAAGAGCTTTTAACTTTTCACATGTATCCTAAGGAGACAGCCTGGTCTAAGTATCTTTGACATTCCCTTTTCCAGGTA